CTGTCATCTCCAGAACAGATCTCGTCCCCCCACGTAGAAGTTCAGGAAATTCTGATAAAAAATGTAATTTCCAGGGTTCCAGAAGGAGAGGAAAACACAGGGTTCTACTCTCGTCACTTCTTGGTCCCAAAACGGACTGGAAGGATGAGACCCATCTTATATTTGTCAATTTTCAACTGTGAGACAACATTTCCTTTCAAAATGCATCGAGTTGGCTATGCAGCCGCTACACAAAGCAGGGAGAATTCTGTTTTATATGGACGATCTGTTGCTGCTGACCCGTTTTTCCAGACTGGTGGCAGCAGTGCAACTCACGTGAAACCGGCAGAATGATAACAGCTGTTTCCCTCATGAAGTTATTAAGGACAAGTTGCCTGCTCACACGGTGCGACGCCTCCAGAGGTGGTCCGCTCGTTTGCGTGTGGACCTGGTGAGACAGAAGAGATGGTTGATCGCTGTGCCCCCCTCCGTGAGAATCAACCTGAGACACTAGGAAACCCTCTTGTTCTGTCAAAGGGAGTTCCCGTCAGCAGACCTAGGTCACACATGTCAAACTTCACAGATGCGTCCCTGTCAGGTAAGAGAGGCACATGCATGTCTCGAGCTGTAGGGGCGCTGTGGCCACCCCACACAGCAGCTCATATAAATGTTTTGGCATATCGCACGGTTTTGAATGTGATTCAACACTTTGCCTCTGTGCTGCGGAATCAACATGTGTTGATGCACACAGACAACAAGTGACTGTTGCATACAAAAACCAGCAGGGGGGTGCGCGCTTAGCCCAAATGTTACATATTGTGAGACAGCTGCTGTGTTGGGCACACCAAAATCTGCTCTCCATCAGAGCAGTGTACATCCCCAGTGTTCTGAACAGGGGGGCAGATGTGATGTCCAAGGGCGGTCCGTATCACGGGGACTGGACCCTCCATCCAGAGCTGATGGCTCAGACGTGGCAGAAATTTAGCAAAGTGGCCGTGGACCTGTTTGCAACATGAGAGAACGCTCAGTGTCAACTATCACTGAGACGCGAGACGAACCACCGCTAGGGGTGGACGCGTTTGCTCACAGCCCGTGGTCCAAAATGCTTCTTTACGCATTTCCGCCACTCCCTCCAACATCACGGTTTTCTGAACCGAGTTTAGGAGGAGGGACTGACAGCTCTCCTGGTGGCTCCCGAGCGCGTGAACGCCCCATGGTTCCCAGTTCTACGACACCTGTTATCGGGGCGCCCGTGGAAACTGCCGTGGAGGGAGGATGCTCTCCTCCAGGTGGGAGGAGTGATCAGGAGTTCCCCAGAAATAGGCCAGCACCTTTGGGTCTGGCCGCTGAGCGGATCCGCTTAGAGAGGATGGGTCTCTCTCAAGTTGTAGTGCGTACTATCCCGGATTCACGTGTTACATCTACCACAGTGCTGTACACATCAAAGTGGACAGCTTTTCAGCGCTGCTGTACGGAGAAAGTTGTAGAGACCACCTCATGTCCAGTAGATGGCATGCTGTCCTTTTTGCAGCAGCTGATGGACAGAAATCTGGCATTCAGCACGATTAAAACGTATGCTGCAGACATCTCTTTTTGTCATGAAGGTTTCGGGGACAGAACAGCTTTTAATTATCCGCTGATGAAGTGTTTTTTAAAAGGCGTACAGAGACGCAGACCTGTTTTTACGCCCACTTGCTCCACAGTGAGATTTAATGCTGGTCCTGCGAGCCCTGATCAATGCTCCATTCGAGCCAATAGATCAGGTTCCAATTAAATACTTTTCTCTTAAAACAGCCCTGCTGTTGGCTTTAACATCCGTTAAGAGGGTGAGTGATTTATCTGCCCTCTCTGTCACTCCGTCATGTCTCAGAATTCAGGCTGATGGCAGCTCAGCTGATCTGAGGTCTAATCCAGCGTTTATGCCTAAAACATCACCATCTCTTTTAAATCAAGAATGATATCGTTGGAGGGATTTTTTCCCTCCTCCCCACAATCAGAAGAAGAAACATCTTTCCATCTTCTTTGCCCTGTACGTGTGTGGACGTGTTACGTAACACGCATGGTGGCATTGCGTCAGACTCAACATTTGTTGTGCACTATAGAGATGCATCTGCAGGTCGCCCATTATCCACCCAGCGCCTGTCACACTGGCTGCATGAGGCCATTTCTGAAGCCTACGGAGCATCAGATTTAGATCCTCCTGACAACCTCAGGGCGCACTCGACCAGAGGTATCGCATCTTCGACTGCTTTGCATAATGGTATGTCAATGCAGGATATTTGCACTGCGGCCACGTGGTCAACATCCTGTTCATTTTTTTGTTTTTATTTACGTGATGTGACGGCTCGTTTCATGACACATTCTGTCCTTAGTGCCTTAACAGAATGAATATTGTTGTTTCATGGAATCTCGTTTAAACTCACATCTGGCTGCATGCATTTATAGTGTGAGATGTTATCAGTCACAGGTTATGACTGTTGTTCTTGTTCTATGGTTATTAATCAGTTCATGACTACTGTCATCAATCAGTTCATTTGATTAATAATCAGTTAATTTATTATTAATCTGTTCATATTGAAGAGCCGTGGATCTGCTCTGTTCACGGCCTTTTTCAGCCTCTCCTCTTTTCTGTTGAAAACCTTTCCGGGGCGTTCATGCACTTGGAACACATAAAGTATGCAATGCGCATCTGTGCATGGTGTGCATAATTGCGCAATGTGTATTTATGCACATGGAGAGCTGAGTGACAAAGTGTTTTTGGGCAAGTGGGCACTTCTTATGGACCCAGTGAGGCGGAGACTACATCTGCTTTGCCCTTAACCCACCAGCGACAGCCTTAAAGGGCGAAGCCTATACGAAGTAGAGCGTTGGTTACGTACCCCGGATTCCATGACTATAGGCGTAGCCCTTTAATCGTCGGGCCACACTGGCTCCTAAATGGCTGAAGAAAAAGTTATTTGGGAGCCGATTACCCGCTCTTAACGTAATTTATACGGACCAGGTGGGGCCCACACAACAGGTGGGCGTGGACTAATTTTTTCAGTGCGATGCTTTGCATGACGGGATAAACCCACCAGCGACAGCCTTAAAGGGCTACACCTTATTACGTTTTATTCGGATCCTGGAGTCATTGTTTTCAAACAAAGGATATTCAGCAGTCGTCTGTACTGTTAAAATATCACTGGTTATGTTTGACTGGTCAGTTTCTGTTACTGGACCTTTATTTAAACAGATAAATCACATTGAGCCTTGAAGACTCATTTACAAGTGAGACCTGTTTGGACAAACAAAAACAGTGGTTAGAAAATGGGAAGAAAACATGAGGAGAGATCAGTTCCTCCAAATCCGAGGCCATGGTCTTGAGCCAGAAAACGGTAGAGTGCCCTCTCCGGATCATGGAGGAGGTCCTACCCTCATCTATGGTCATGAGCTTTGGGTTGTGACCGAAAGAATGAGATCTCGGATACAATCGGCTGAAATGAGTTTTCTCCGCAGGGTGTCTAGTCTCTGAGTTGATTTCAAATGTAATAAGATGATCAATGAATGTTTGCAACAAAGGATTTACTGATTATAACAAAGATTCCTTCAAGAAACCTCCTAATGTAAATCATAAAACCATTAGGACTTCTGCTCATTCTAAATTTGTCAAATGGTCTAAATCTCCTAAAGTGAAGGAGAATCATTTTAAAATAATAAATAAGATATATCATGTAGCCATGTTTCTGCAAAGAAGATTTAAATTTGATGTTCATTTGTTGCTTTTTGTAAATCAGAAGATGAATCCCTTGAGCAATTTTTATTTGAATGTCAATACAAAATGTTTGGTCAGACATCAGAAACTGGATTAATCTCAAACTCAACATTCCTTCTTTTGATGCTGAAGCCATTTTACTTTATGTGGATAACTTAAGCTCAGCTTTCTCTGATGCCATAAATAAAGTCGTACTTATAACAAAGTACCACATTCACTGTAGTAAGAGGAGAGATAATAATCCCTCCTTCCTGTTTGATGAACGATTTTAAGTCGTACTATTCTTCATTAAGTAGATTAAAAATCTGCAAAACTGTTAAAATCATCTCACAACCTATACAAACGAATTGTTTTAATTAAAACAATGTTTCTCAAGAAAAAAAAAAACGGATTTTGTCAGCAGGTAAGGGGCGTTTACCTTCAGGACAAATTGAGGTTGTCCATTGGTCAGTTACTCACACGCCTTCTGAATTGATTGACAGGTCACGCCATCGAGGATTCGATTGAAAAAAAGAAATCGAGAGCTGCAGCAGCTGGGAGGAGGCGGGGCTGCACAAATGCAGCGCGGGGCTCCAAGTAAAGCAGGAGATAACCAGATCTTTTGCTTGTGCCCTCACTGCCCTGGGCCCCTTAGAGATCATGGGCCCCTGGGCAGTTGTCCAGTTGCCCATATGGTTAATCCGGCCTTGCCTGCACTCCAAAACACCTCAGTCTCCTCAGCAGGTAGAGTCTGCTCTGACCCTTCCTGTGAAGTGCATCAGTGTTGTGAGACCAGTCCAGTTTATTGTTCAGGTGAACACCCAGGTACTTGTAACTAACCTGTGGTTTAACATTTGTCATGAAATGGTTTAAGTTGTGTCTACAGGTGTGCAAAGTAGGTATCTGCTCCCAGAAATGCATTTTTTTGAAGTCTTGATCTTAAACCCTGTTCATGTTTTTCTTGTCATGTTTGCAGTTAAATGTTGCAAAAACACAGATATAAATGACAGATTCATTAAACATCTCATTTATTTCGTTCAATCCCCCCAGTCAGCCGTTTCATCACCCGACAGCTCCCATCGGTCCCCCACGCTCCGCCCACCTTCCTGCAGAAACATCCACCCACTCGGGTGGGCGACACTTCACACCTCCTCTCATGGTGTTCCTCTTCCAGAGTGAGGAGGAGCGCGTGCAGCTCGTGGACTGGAGGTACTCGCTCGTTTACAGCGTTTCTGGATGAGTCGCGCTTTTCCTCGAGTGCAAAGTGGTAACATTCAGGACATTTCAGTCGCCCACAGCAGCAGACTGGGAGGGGGTTAGGGGATGAACCAGGAGTCCAAGGTGTCCACTCTGCCTCTGTGAAACGGAACCATGGCTCTGCTCGTCCTCCCTCTTCTTCTACAAACAGGACTCGTTCTGAGCTCAAACTATGGCTACGTGGAGTGGTCGGACACTGACCGAGACGAGAAGCACCCCCCGGTTCTGAGCACCCAGAACCAGCCCACCCTGCGCCCGCCGGCACCGGCCACGGAGCGCGCGGTGGTGGCGCACAAAATCGAGGAGGACCTCCCGCGGGTGGTGACGGCTTTCCTGCACACCGGAGACTCCTCCGCCCTGAGGCAGGTCAACTGCTCCCGGAGGTACGAGCTGAGCAGCCTGCGGGGGGGCCTCCACATGGCCTCCCACTACTCCCTGCACAGCATCCTGGACACGGTCGCGCACGCCACCAACTTCCTGAACGTAATCCTGCAGACCAACAACAGCTCCCGGGACCAGACCCTCCGCAGTGACATCCACTGGTACCACGCGCTGGTCCAGAGCATCCTGGAGGTGGACCCGAAAATCCACAGGGCGGTGGTGACCTTGCACCCGGACGTGTCGACTCGGGGACCTCAGGTCTTCCTCCAGGCGACCAGGACTGAGAAGGAGGTGGTGCTGCAAGAACTGTCTGAGTCCGGGCACCGCCACCTGAAGAGCCGGGGCCCGGAGTCCGACTGGTTCAACGAGTTCAGGGACGAAAAGAGAGCGCACGTGCACAGGAGGGTGGCGGAGGGCTCGGGCTCCAGCAGCGGAGGGTACCTGCTGAGCAAAAACCACATCAAGTGGTCCGCACCGTACCTGGAGTGTGAGCACGGGACGTTTGTGCCTCAGTGGCTGCTCACACTGTCTGCAGGCTTCTATGAGCTGCAGGGGGGCTCCGCTCCACAGTTCAGGTGAGAGGGGGGGGGGGACGAATTGTTAAATATTCTTTAAGGTCATGGTTAAATGAAACCTTTAATTGGAGCAGCATTCATGCATTCATCCTTTATTTAAAGAGGTTAGTCTCTGTGCGCCAATAGAGACACAGAACTGCTGAAATATCTGCCTTTGACTGACAGGAAATCTAGTTTCATAAAGTCTGCACTGATTTAAACACATGAAGTTAAAACTCCTTCACAGAAAAAGGCAACCTTTATCATTTCACATCTGTCAGAGCCCAGATGTGCATCTTAGTCCAGTCTTATAGACGGATTATTTATTTATCAACACGGCGGATGCGCGCGCAGCTGTGCAGAACGAGCCGGTGTCTTGTGCGAAATTGTGTCCCCCTTTATGGAGAGGGCGCACAGCTCTTCTGATAGATTTATTGCTATTAAAAAGTATAAATGCACTCGATGTCTTGGTGGCTGACTCATATTTGTCAGGCTAAAGTGAACATGACAAGTTTAAAAAAGAATACATTTTTTGCTCGGCAATTAAAAAAAATCACACACAAACAAAACAAACAAACAAACAACAACAACACGAAACTGTAAGAAAACCCCACACAAGACGAGGTTTATTTGTTGCTTATTTGAGGTTTTATATTGATTGATTTATTTATTACCAGAAGCTGTCGATTAAAATGAAAGTTACAACCGTGACAGATTATGTGACTGTTTTACTGAGAAATCTTTGAGAAGCAGTGAAAATGGTCAGACCCGCCTCTGTGCGCGTTATTTTTATTTTGTTTTTATTTGATACATTTTATTACATGGTGTTGAAAAGGTGACTAGTTGCTGCTCATTACATTTCAGTAAGAACCATGAGTACTCTTATGAAGTTCAGCTTCTCTGCTGTGGCGTCCAGTCCTGTGGACCCAGCAGGACACACTGGTGCAGCCAGAGATGATCACATGATGAACACAGTCCTCCACATACATGAACAGTTATTCATACAAAGTAATATTGTAAAAGAAAGAAGCTAAAAACAATCCACTCTGACACAAATCATTTATTGTAACTTTTCCTGTTAACATTCAGTTTTAACTTTTCCCTTCAAATCACTGTGTGCACGTTTAAAAAAAGAAATGGTTATTTTGTTGTTATTTTTTAATGACATTACTTATGTACAAACAAGAAATAAGAAGTTTTTGATGTATCCTTAACTCTTGAACAAGATATTTACAGTTTATTTTCTAGGGACTATACAGTCCCAAATGTTTGTTAATGCTGCGGACACAATTACAACGTCCTCTACTAGATTAGAGGTTTCAAAGTCTGACACATAACACGGAGACAACTTCTCAAAATGTTGGAAATGTCACATTCAGTAACATTAAATCTGAACGTATTATCCTTATTGGGCGGCTGTGGCTGAGTGGTTAAAGCAGTCGTCCTCCAATGTGTGAGTTGGGGGTTCGAATCCACCAGCTGTCACATGCTGAAGTGTCCCTGGGCAAGACACTGAACCCCTCATAGCCTCTGATGTGTGTCCCATCAGTGTATGAATGTGATCTAAAGCACTGATTAGTCTCATTAGAATGATTTGTTCCATTAGCTTTGTAGAGATGTAGAGTGCTGTATGAATGGGTAAATGAGGCACAGATTGTAGTGTAAAGCGCTTTGAGTATCTTGAAATAAGATAGAAAGGCGTTATATAAGTACAGTCCATTTACCATTGGTGAGCCCTAAACGCAGTTTTCATGAGGATGGCCAGTATGGTCCATTGTTTGGACATCTGCTGGGGGTTTCATCCCGTCGTCTTTTTCTCTTGTAGCTGAGACACAGAAGAGAACAATCATTAGATGCAGCAGGAAAGCATCACTTTACTTTGTTAAACACAGGTTTATTACAGCCTCAGTTCAAGTCAGCAATCCCTCTATTTACTGCTCCAATTTTCCATCACTGTCTTTGCCGGACTTTGTAGAGTAGGAGAAGATGGACGTGACAAAGTCAGGACTGTCGATGTCTTCAGAGGCAACTCCTGTACAAATAAAGTGTATTCCAGTGACTGACGTTAATGGAAACAGCACACGGTTGGCCAGTGCTAACTGACAGCATGTGCTAGCATACAACTTTAAACAGTAACAAGTTTCTGGGTGTCATCATTGATGAAAAACTGACATGGAAACCTCACATAAATAATTTAAGAACAAAAATATCTAAATCTGTTGCAGTACTGTACAAAGTAAGGGAGTTACTCAATGAGAAAACACTGTTTATGTTGTATAATGCAATAATTGTCTTACACTTGATTTACTGTAGTGAAGTCTGGGCTAAAGCATGTAAAACAATTACAAATCCTATTTTTATTTTTACAGAAAAGAGCTGTAAGAATCATCCCTAGAAAAGATTATAGATATCCATCAAATACATTGTTTTATCAATTGAAGATATTAAAATTATATAACCTGGTTGATTATAATATTTTACTTTTTATGTATAAGGCTCACAAAAACATACTACCTTCAAATATCCAAGTAAATTTTGTTAAAAGGGACAGTGGTTATTATCTCAAGGGGATAGAGATGTTTGTGAAGCGCTGGTTTTGTACCAGTTTGAAGGAGCGGTCTACTATAATTAGCATATACATATACAAATAACATATTCAAGAAAATGTAAAAAGTTAGTTTTCTGAAGAAATATGGTAAAGTATAATGTGTATCTATACAAATTGTTAAAATAGAATAGAATATAATAGAAACAGCCTTTATTGCCCCACGGATGGGAAATTCAAGTGTAACAGCAGCAACAGATGAAAAGATAAAAATATTTCACACAAAAGTTCCTAACTGTTAATGAACAATACAATATATAAGAAAAAAATAAACCATATAAATAATAATGTTCAATATGTATTGGAACATTGATAAGGACAGACTATTGACAGTACAGTGTTACAGGCAGAGTGTGTTTCAGCAGAGGTCAGCATGTATTTAATCCTTGTTGAGTTTGTTGGGAGCAGTGATGGTTGTAGAGTCTAACAGCTGCTGGAGGAAGGACCTGCGGTGACGCTCCTTTGTGCATTTAGGAGCAGGAACCTGTCACTGAACGAGCTCTCCAGTTCAGCAGCAGCTTCATGGGGTGGGAGACGTTGATGTTGCTTTTATTTAGCTTTGTTTTTTTGTAAATTACGTTTGTTTTGAATATATTCTGGGAATAAAGGGGCAGATATCATAAGATTTATTCTTCTTCTGCTGCCTTTCCTTTTATTTTTTGATTGTATATATATTTTTGTTTTCTATTGTATATAGTTATTTTGTTTTTAACAAAATGAATACATTTATAAATAAATAAATAAATAAATAAACAAATGATTAGCAACTCCACTCAGCATCACTGAACAAAGATATCTTAGCTTGTAAGCTAGGTACACTCGTATTGAGTGATCAATTGTTCATATTTTTGTATATAGGATGCAATAAGCAGCGATTCTTGTTAGCTAGGCAGACTTACCTGATATGAAGTGCTCGCTGCACATTGTTGCATTTTTAATCATCTGCGAGTTCCAATCGCTTCTTCTGATGGCTTGCAATTAAATACGCCTCCTGTTAGCCTTGAAAGGGTGTGAGTTGAAGGAATTCTGTAAAACTTGAGTGTTTTATTGTTTTAATCAAAACGGTTGGTGCAGCCTACAGCACAACAAGACATGATCGCTGTTTCTTTCTGCGACCGACATGCGCAGTATACCAGGAAGTGACACGGAAGTGACACGGAAGTGACATGGAAGTGATGTTGACTGATAATCCGTCTATAAAGTCTTTGAGGACATCTGTGCAAGCTGGCTGTGGATAAAAGGTGTGTGTTTGTGTGTGTGTGAGAGAGAGAGAGGGAGAGAGGGGGAGAGATGGGGTGGGGTGGGGGGGGACTCCAGGAGTTCATATTTCAAGTCTGGAGTCCAAGAGAGTCTTGAAATAATCAATCTAGTCATGAATAAATTAAATGATGAAATCTCATCGATACAACTCCCCCCACCCCTCGGTTATTTGCTGCCATCATCAGAGAAGCTTTATGTTGACGTTTCTGTCAGGCAATTCATTTGACAAATATTCAGACACGTGCACACTTGATTTATTTCTGCACTAAAATTCAGTCAGTGGGACAAAAACAGTTGTTTCTGCAAAGCTTCATGGTTTAAAGAAACAGCTCAAATTGAATTAGAACCAGCAGCAGTGGAGTAATATGATGATCTGAATACTGATGGAGTCTGCAGAGAAACAATGGCCCCTCGAGACACGACTTCCATTAGACCCTCAAAGGTCTCTGGAGTCTGAGGTCGTGCGTTCAACTGGAAAAGGCGGAATTTGAACTCTGCAATACAGGAAAGTGAGTCAAACATGTTGGAGTGGGTGGACATTATAATGTAGTGTAATATAATACACCATATTATTTTGCATCATTATTGTTCAGCATATATATTTGATTCCTTTTTTTTTACTTTATATTTTTGTTGTTTTTGGGTTTACCTGGGACCTTGAACCTTGGGTGGAGGTCTGTGGCGCAGTCAGCAGCAGCTCCTTCTTGTGCTGGACTTTGTGACGTCAGGATATCCGCTCAGGTTTCAAAGACTCGGCTGAACTGAGATTTAAGGATCTTAAAGTCAACAACTCCAACTTGTTGTGCTCCTCGAAGCGTTACTAAATGTTTTCTGCTGGGGGCAGAGTACAAGGGAGGCTAACGAGAAGATGCTGCCTCCTCAAACAGATGCCTGCTTCACCTGTCAGGACCAGAAGGTTCCCATCAGAACGTCGTCCAACGTTAATGAGCGAGGTGCTTCACATCTCAGCCAAACTGCACCACATAAACAAGAATTTGAATTTCCTGGGGAAAGGCAGCATGAATTGATTAGTGAATTTGCTAAAAGCTGCTGAAGAAGCCCAAACTTTACTTGAAATACATCAGTAGCTGAAAAATACATAGAAGCTGAAAGAAGCCAAAAAATAAGATAGCACCAGTAAAAATAACAAAAACAT